AAATTAAAAAAAAAACAAAAACACTTAAATGAAAGACTCAAAAATACGAGACTACTATTAAAAATGTATTAGAATCCTTCATGAAATTGATCTAGGCAAGGATTTTTGACTAAGACTTCAAAAGCTCAGTTAACAAAGTACAAATAGATAAATGGGATGACATTAAACTAAAAAGCTTGTGCACAGATAATAAAATAACTGACAGACTGAAGAAACAAGCTTCAGAATGAAAGAAAATATTTCCAAACTATACATCCGAAAAGGGGCCATTCAGAATATATTTAAAAAACTCAATAGCAAGAAAACAAATAAAAACTCAAGCAAAAAAAAAAATTAATAAATGGGCAAAAGACCTGAGGAGACATTTTTTTCAAATAAAACATACAAATAGCCAAAACTACATGAAAAGTGCTCAAAATCACTAATCACCAGGAAAATGCACATCAAAGCCACAATGAGATACCACCACATCTCATTAGAATTGCTATTATCAGAAAGACAGGAAAAGAATAATAATCCCAGCTACTCTAGAGGCTGAGGCTAGCGGATGACTTGAACCCATGAGGTGGAGGTTGCAGTGAGCTGAGATGGTGCCACTGCACTCCAGCCTGGGCAACAAAAGTGAAACTCCGTTTAAAAAAAAGAGAAAAGAATAATAACAGTGGCTGACAAGAATGTAGATAAAGATAAAACCTTGTACATTGTTGGTGGAATGTAAATGAGTATAACCATTATGAAAAATAGTACAGAGGTTCCTAAAACATTAAAGATAGAACTAGTACATGATTCAGCAATCCTACTACTGATACTTAGCAAAAGTAAATGACAACAGTATATCAGAGATATCTGTACTCTCATGTTTATTGCTGCACTATTCACAATAACCAAGATACTATATTAGTCTAAGTCTCCATCAATGGATGAATGAATTTTTAAATGTGATACATCTACACAATGGAGAAATATTCAGCCATATACAAGAAGGAAATCCTGTGATTTGCAACAAAACGAAGGAACCTGAAGGATATCGTGTTAAGTGAAAGAAGCCAGACACAGAAAGACAAATACTACATGACATCATTCACATGAGGAATAAAATTTTAAAAAATCTCATAGAATTAGAGAACAGAATAGTGACTACCAGAAGCTGGGACAGTTGTGGAAGGAGGGTGGGGAGATGTGTCTCAAAGGATACTAAATTGAAGTTAGAAAGAATACATTCATGAGGTAGAGTACAACATGGATACTTTATACTTAATGATCATATATTGTATTATCAAAACATACTAAGTGATGTTAAGTGTTCTCACCGCAAAAATGACAACAATGTGAGGTAAAACATAGATGAATTAGCTGAATTTAACATTCCATAATGTAGCTAGACCTCAGAACATTCTTTTAGACATGATAAATACATACCAATTTACCCATCAATTAAAAAAATTATTAAATACATTTAAAAAAATTAAAATAATTTTATAAGGTGCTAATTGCAGGGCAATTTGCATAAAGAGATCCAAATACATCTCTTACAGCAACCAAATGTTTTATAAATGAATAATGATACGACAGCTCTTGACCTGTCATAAACGTATGAAATTTCTTATTGTTTTGCTGAAAGCATCATAAAGCCCAAGAATGTAGTACCTACGGTTTTCTATCAGAACATAGTTCATCCCTTGTTGAAGAGGGGAATAGCAATTTTCTGGAGGTATCAAGGGCTGTGTTCACATCACACGTCAGATTCTTGGAGACCCAAGAGACCTAGTCAAGACAAGTTCCTCAGTTTAGACTTTGGAAAAAACTTTCCTCTAGGGTTTGAGTTAAGGTGTTAGGAGGCTAGGTCTCTGGAAGTCAAGCAAGTCCATGGAGAAGGAGTAATGAAGGCTGCATTAACCTCAGATTCAATATAGTGTCTTGGGAACAGAGCATGCAGAAAAAGATTTCTTTCAGTGCAGGGGAAAATCCCAAAGGAAAATGATGTCATCAGGTTGGAATAACAAGAGGAAATGTGCCTCAGAGTTACAAAGCTGTACATTTTGTACAGATTTACAAAGCTGCGAATTTCTCCCCTGCTGCTGTTCCTCAGCATATGCAACCTTGGGTTCAATGAGACATGGTTGTTTCCTTTGGAGTCCTTGATCTGGCTCAGCTACCGATGCTTCCCTGTCTCCTACTGTCTCAGTACAGAGCTTCAGTCTCCATCATCCACCAGGGGAGGTAGTCACATCCACATGGATGCCTTCCTCTCAGAAGACCCAACAAGGTGAGTCCAAGAGGTACCGTAGGAAAGGATCAGGGAGAACACAGTCCATAAACATGGACCCAAAGTCATCTGAGAGCCAACCCAGCCAAGCCCCGAGAAGAGAAATTGCTTTGGTTGTTGGCTTGCTTGCTTGCTTGATAAACTATTTGATTCATGTAATTGTTTATGATGCTAAAAAGAGCAGTGAACATTGAACTCAGCAAGAAGGGTGATTCCTGACAGTTAAGTAATGGTCACAGAGGCCCAATTTGATGAGGAAACGGGAGGAAGAAAGTGGTTCCAGTAAAAGTAGACTATATGCCCAAGGATTTTGCAAATAAGTGGAGAGAGAAAAAAAGTAGTAGCTGTGGCGGGATAGATAACTATGTATATAAATACTTATATTAAAATATTTTTATAAATATATGAAAATATTGTAGGATTTTCATGTTAAAGCAGTGATCCTCACTGCGGGTAGTTTTGTCCCCCGTGGAATTTTGAGCAATGACAGGTTTGGCTGTCACCTTGAGGAGGGTGAATAGAGAACAGGGAAGCTGTTATAATACAATATAACAGGGAAATGATAATACAATGCACAGGGCAGACCCCACCTCAGTAAATAATCTGGCCCCGAATTTCATTAGCGCTGGATTGAGAAACTTGGAGTTCATGAATATCTGTGTTTTTAATATTCACATCTCCTTCTAGGTTACCTCCCCAAGATTCTGTAACACTTTACACTTCTGCCGGCAAAACGGCAGAGTCCCTGTTTGCTACCTGTTGAAAAGTTCCAACCCCACTCAACGTGGCAGCTGCCCTTCAGGCTTTTCCCCAGGCTGATGGGTGTGATAGAGAGTGTTGTATTAAACCATTACTGGGTTTGAGCAAAGATTCCTACATACAATCACCATTTTGATTTGTTTATTATCATATATCCATTTGTCCAGTTATCACCATTTCAAATTATTTCTACAGATTATTGATTTTTCATTGACATTTGAGGAAATACTTTTCAGCACAAAAAGCTGTAAATTTTATTTACCTAAATATATGTCTATAATATTCTGTTTCTTGCCTTAGCACGCTTTGCATACACGTCATTTTCTGTGTGGTTTTCTACATGTTCAGCTAACATGTATTATTTACTTTATAAGGTGTTTAAACCCACTAATTTTTTGTAAAATATGAGATGGGGAGAAACTTCATTGTCTTCCAGGTAGATAGCCATTTACCAGCTTTTGTTCCACAATTCAGCATTTTCCAACTAAATTGCAATATAACCTTGTCATACATTAAATGTCCATATATACTAATACTTAGTTTCTGATTCATTCAATAACAGATGAGTATCTGCCATATACCAGAACATTCTAGTGACACTATATGTAATATAATTCATTGTGTAGGTCTTTGCCAATTAAATAATTCATCCGTTCTGATATTAAATTACTGTTATTTTATACCTTCTTTCAGTTAATTTTCAATGTCTCCCTCAAATTCACTTAAGATAGTGTTTTTAAATTTACTATATTTTTCTGGCTTTATTCCACTGACAGTTTTTATTTTATAACTTCCTCTTGCTTTAATTTTTTGTAATTCTTCTACACATATTCATGTACCTAAGTGAAAAAAAAAAACAAAGATAAACAGAGCAGGTGAAGTTCCTGCTCATTTGAATTTTTTTATATAATGGTGAAGAGAGTTCAGTGTAATAGGCCAGGTGCAGTGGGTCACTCCTGTAACCCCAGCACATTGGGAGGGTGAGGCGGAGGTTGCAGTGAGCTGAGATTGTGCCACTGCACTCCAGCCTGGGTGGCAGAGCAAGACTCCATCTCAGAAATCATAACAACAATAATAATGCTCTATCTACACTTTTTTTCTGTTAACATCATTCTTCCTCATCGTAGGATTTGCTGCCATCTGACATAATATATGGCATTTACATTTTTTTCTTCTATTCTCTCTCAGTCATGTAGAGATTTTCTTATATTATAACACCACATACTCATTTACTAGACAGTGCCTGGAACATATCAAAATTCACTTTATATTCCCCAAATGCGTGAAAGATTTTCTCATCAGTATTGTAGAGTACACGCCTTCAGGGAAAGGCTGAGAGTGGGACAGGAATTCCTGATCCAAGATGGCAAGAGGATCCCCCTGATTGGCACCAGATTCACACACAAAATAACGCACAATTAACTTCCTGTAGAATGGAGGTTACCAGAGGCTGGGGGTGCTAGGAGGGTGGGTTGGGGACATCAGAGGACACAAAATTACAATCAGACAGGAAGATTGAATTCTTGTAGAATGGAGATTATCAGAGGATGGGAGGGTTGCTGGGGAGAGCTGGGGAGATGTTGGTCAAAGGATACAAAATTAAGCAAGACAGAAATGTCATGTTCAAGAAATCTCTTGCACAGCATGGTTCTAATGGTACTGTGATCATATACATAAAACCATTAATAGTAATATGATATAGTTAATAGTAATATATTGTATTTTGAAAAATGCAAAGGGAGTATTAAGTGTTCTCGTCAGATGATCACTGGCTAGATTTAGCCATTCCACAGTGTAAACATACTTCAAAGCATCATGGTGGACATGATAAAGACACTCTGTTTTATCTGCCAACTTAAAAAAATCAACTTTAGAAAATAAAAAACAATAGCCTCTTCATGTAGGATATCCGTAACAGCATTTCTGGTAGGTTTGTAATGCATGTGAGTGTCATGTTCTTCTCTCTTTTTGGTAGAAACATCAACCAGATGAAAGCAGGGAACGATACACAAATTTCAGAATTCCTTCTACTGGGAATTTCAGAGGAACCAGAATTTCAGCCCTTCCTCTTTGGGCTGTTCCTGTCCACGTACCTGGTCACCGTGCTCGGGAATCTGCTCATCATCCTGGCCATCAGCTCGGACTCCCACCTCCACACCCCCATGTACTTGTTTCTCTCCAACCTGTCCTTTGCTGACATCTGTTTCACGTCCACGACCGTCCCAAAGATGCTGGTGGATATCCGAACACAAAGCAAAATTATCACTTTTGCAGGCTGCCTCACCCAGATTTTTTTTTTCGTTGCATTTGGATGCCTGGACAATTTACTCTTGACGGTGATGGCCTATGACCGGTTTGTGGCCATCTGTCACCCCCTGCACTACACAGTCATCATGAACCCCCGGCTCTGTAGACTGCTAGTTCTGGGGTCCTGGTGCATCAGTGTCATGGTTTCCCTGCTCGAGACCTTGACCATTTTGAGGCTGTCCTTCTGCACAAACATGGAAATCCCACACTTTTTTTGTGATGTTCTCGAAATCCTGAAGCTCGCCTGTTCTGAAACCCTCGTCAATAACATCGTGATGTATTTTGTGACGATTGCAATGGGTGTTTTTCCTCTCTCTGGAATCCTATACTCTTATTCTCAGATTTTCTCCTCCATCCTGAGAGTATCACCTGCCCGGGGCCAGCACAAAGCCATTTCCACCTGTGGGTCTCACCTCTCAGTGGTCACGCTGTTCTATGGCACGGGCCTTGGGGTCTATCTCAGTTAGACCTTGGGGTCTATCTGCAGCTACACCATCTTCTAGGACAAGTCTCATGGCCTCGGTGATGTACACCATGGTCACCCCCATGCTGAACCCCTTCATCTACAGCCTGAGGAACAGGGACATAAAGGGATCCCTGGGGAGAAAAGATAGACCTTGGGGTCTATCTGCAGCTACACCATCTTCTAGGACAAGTCTCATGGCCTCGGTGATGTACACCATGGTCACCCCCATGCTGAACCCCTTCATCTACAGCCTGAGGAACAGGGACATAAAGGGATCCCTGGGGAGAATCCTCCTCAGGGCAACATCTCTCAATACGGGGACCACTGCCAAGCTCTCATGAATAGCGGTGAACACAATACTGAGGCCAGATTGGCCTCCTTCGGCTAATATTTTGACTTCTGCTTTTATGCATTTGGAGCAGGGCAGGGAAGGCGTCTCACTCTGTCACCCAGGCTGCAGTGCAGTGGCACGATCTCAGCTCACTGCAACCTTCGTCTCCCAGGTTCAAGTGATTCTTCTGCCTCAGCCTCCTGAGCAGCTGGGATTACAGGCATGAGCCACCAGGCCCCAATGATTTTTGTATTTTTAGTAGAGATGGAGTTTTGTCATGTTGGCCTGGCTGGTCTCAAACTCCTGATCTCAGGCAATCTGCCTGTCTTGGTCTCCCAACATGCTAGGCTTACAGGCAGTAAGCCACTGCACCCGGCCTTCTTTTATACATTTTAAAGCATTTCTTCCTTTGGAAACTTTTCCTGCCCTTGCTACTGCCAATAAGGTTATATAGGATCACCCTTTTTGACTTTCTAATGAGTAATTTTAACTTTGTATGAATATGATCTGGCATTCTCTCAGTTATCTTCAGTAATGATTTGTTTGTTTGTTTGTTTGTTTGTTTTTGGGTATGTTTGTTGTTGTTGATTTTGAGACGGAGTCTCCCTCTGTTGCCCGGGCTGGAATGCAGTGGCATGATCTCGGCTCCCTGCAACCTCCACTGCCCAGGTTGAAGTGATTCCTCTGCCTCAGCCTTCTGAGTAGCTGGGACTACAGGTGTGCACCACCACGCCTGGCTAATGTTTGTATTTTTAGTACAGACAAGGTTTTACCATGTTGTCCAGGCTGGTCTCGAACGCCTGACCTCAAACGATCTGCCTGCCTCGGACTCCCAAAGTGCTGGAGATTATAGGCGTGAGCCACTGTGCCTGGCCTGATTTGGATTTAAAAAAAAAAAAATCAAATCTGACATGTTAAATATATATTCTCAGAAGCGATGGGATATGTCCCTATTTTTGAAATGTTGCCCTGGAAACTCATTTACAGAGATGTTTTTTGAGGTTATGTGAATAAAAATAACTCAAAGAGTTCCCTCCTTTTTTTTTTTTATCTGATTCACTTTCCTTTCAGTCATGCCAACTTAACTTTTTTACTCCTTCATAATATGGGTTTCTTGAATTTCAGAGCAATGACTTACCATTTTTGCAATCACAATGGCTAGTGCAGTTATTGGTAAGGAGTTCATGTTTACATGATATTTGTCAAATGGAGTAGAAAAATAGATGGGTGGATGGCTAAATATAAAATAAAGATCTGGACCAGAAAAATACAAATTCATTAATCTGATTAGAGCTTTTAGCCAGGCATGGTGCTGCATGCCTATAGTTTCAGCTACTCAGGAAGCTGAAGCAGGAGAATGGCTTGAACCCAGGAGGTTGGGGCTGCAGTGAGCCATGATTATGCCACTGTTCTCCAGCCTGGGTGACAGAGTGAGCCCCTGTCTCTAATTAATTAATTAGGTTTTTGAGCTAGAAACAGAATTCAAGGTTATTGATGTTGATTTTTTATATATGTTGAACTTTCTGTTTTTTATTTTCATTTTTATTGTACTTTAAGTTCTGGGGTACATGTGCAGATCTTGCAGGATTGTTACATAGGTACACACATGCCATGGTGGTTTGCTGCCTCCATCCCCCCATCACCTACATTAGGTATTTCTCCTAATGTTATCCCTCCCCAATCTCCCCACCCCTTGCTGTCCCTTTCCTAACCCCCCACCTGCCAACAGACCCCAGTGTGTGATGTTCCCCTCCCTGTGTCCATGAGTTCTCATTGTTCAACACCCACTTATGAGTGAGAACATGCAGTGTTTGGTTTTCTGTTCTTGTATCAGTTTGCTGAGAATGATGGTTTCCAGCTTCATCCATGTCCTTGCAAAGGACGTGAACTGATATAAATAACACTTTATATACCAACACAGTTTAAGAGCTTTATATACACTGCCTCATTTCATTTTTCCAATAACTCTTTGATGTAATTAGTTTTATTTCCCATATTCACAAATAAGAAAGTAAGAGCTTATGGTAAGTAGGTAACTAGCTCAAGGTAATGAATATGTGAGAAGCTTCAAATGTAGGGTTGTATGAATCAGACAGCTGTCGCAGGCGTTATGTTACTGTGGAGTCCTCATTAGGGAAAAGGATTCAGGCTGGCCGGACTAAGGGAAAGCAAAAAGAAGAAGCAGATAAGCTACAAGTCTGCCTTTCTTCACGGTCCTGGACACAAAGCCCTCCTGTACAAATAGCTCACAATATTCCTGCATGCAGCTATCACCAGACCCATGCAGCTATCACCAGGCTGATACAAAAATTGCAAGTTAGTTCACTGCACCCTTGGCGTTATCAATACTGTACAAAGCCCTCTTCAACAAGCACTGTCCTATAAAATCCCCAGCAAGCTTTTGTCTCTTGGCAGTCAGCTCCTCTATTGCTGGCCTGCCCATTGCTTCCTTGCAATGTACTTTCATACTTTCACCAATCAATCTGCCTTTCCTTACCTACAACTGTGTTGGTAGATTCTTATCCTCCACACCACCAGCCCCAGACAGTTGCCACTCACCCATGACAGTTATCTCTAGTCAAACCTTCTGATATTAATAGTCAAATCTCAAAGGAACCAGGAGTTCTCTGACATAAATTCTTCTGGAATTATGCTCCTCAGCAAAGAAATATTCTGTGTCTGGGGGCTGCAGCCTTAGAAGTAAATTAAACCCGATCCAGCAATCCCATTACTGGATATATACCCAAAGGATTATAAATCGTTCTATTATAAAGGCACATGCACACATATGTTCATTGCGGTGCTGTTTACAATAGGGAACCAACCCAAATGCTCATCAATGATAGACTGGATAAAGAAAATGTGGCACATGTACACCATAGAATACTATGCAGCCATAAAAAAGGGTGAGTTCATGTCCTTCGCAGAGACATGGATGAAGCTAGAAACCATCATCCTCAGCAAACTGACACAAGAACAGAAAACCAAACACTGCGTGTTCTCACTCATAAGTGGCTGTTGAACAGTGAAAACACATGGGCACAGGGAGGAGAACATCACACACCGGGGTCTGTCAGGGGTTGAGGAGGCTAGGGGAGGGATAGCAGAGGGTGAGGGGATTGGGGAAGGATAACATTAGGAGAAACACCTAATGTAGATGATGGGGGATGGATGGAGGAAACCACCATGGCATGTGTATACCTATGTAACAGTCTTGCATGATCTGCATATGTACCCCAGAACTTAAAGTATAATAATAAAAATAAATAAATAAGCAAATTAAACCCATGAGTAAGATTTATTGTTTCCTTTGATATTTTAATTTGACTTCCGTTGGTTGTTCATGAAAATGAGCACATCTTTGTGCTTGATCTTTTTGTGTTCGACATTTTTATAGTAACTCTTTTTTCCAGCTTTACTGAGGTATAGTTGACAAATTAAAATTGTACATATTCAAGGTGTATAGTATGATGATTTGATATATGTATACATTGTGTAGTGACTGACTTACATTTATTTTTACTAAATTTTGAGTTTACCTCCTTTGATCATTCATAATTTTAGATTTTTAAAAATTCTAGTTGACTTAGTTATTGAATTTTTATTCTTAGTCATTATGGATACATAATAGTTGTACATATTTATCGGGCATGTATGAAACTTTTACACAAACATACTTGCATAATAATCAAATCAAGGTAATTCAGGTATCTATTGCTTCAAGCATTTATCATTTCTTGTGGAAGACAGTGTGGCGATTCCTCAAGGACCTAGAAATAGAAATTCCATTTGACCCAGCAATCCCATTACTGGGCATATATTCAAAGGATTATAAATCATTCTACTATAAGGACACATGCACATGAATGTTCATTGCAGCACTGTTTACAATAGCAAAGACCTGGAACCAACCCAAATGCCCATCGATGATAGACTGGACAGGGAAAATGTGGCACATATACACCATGGAATATTGTGCAGCCATAAAAAATGATGAGTTTGTGTCCTTTGTAGGGACATGGATGAACCTAGAAACCATCATTCTCAGCAAACTGACACAAGAGCAGAAAATCACAAACACCTCGTGTTCTCACTCATAGGCGGGTGTTGAACAATAAGAACTTGTGGCTCATAGGCGGGTTTTGAACAATAAGAACATGTGGACACAGGGAGGGGAGCACTACACACTGGGGTCTGTTGGGGGGAAGAGGGGAGGGACAACACAGGGTGGGGAGTTGGAGGGGGATAGCATGGGGAGAAATGCCAGATGTAGGTGAAGGGGAGGAAGGCAGCAAATCACACTGCCATGTGTGTACCTATGCAACAATCTTGCATGTTCTTCACATGTACCCCAAAACATAAAATGCAATTAAAATAATAATAATAAAATAAAATTAAAAATGAAAAAAATAAACATTCCAATTCCACTCTTTAGTAATTTTGAAATTTACAATAAATTATTGTTAAGCATAGTCACCCTATTATGCTACCAAATACTAGATTTTATTCCTTCTAACTGTATTTTTGTACCCATTATCCTTCTTTTATTCTCCCTCCCTTCTACCCCTCCTAGCTTCTGGTAACCATCATTCTACTCTGTTTCCATGAGTTCAGTTTTTTCAGCTCCCACATACAAGCAAGAACATGTAATATTTGTTTTTCTTGCCTGGCTTATTTCTTTTCTTCTTGTTTTGTTTTTGTATTTTTGAGATGGGCTTACGCTCTTGTCATCCAGACTAGAGTGCAATGGTGAGATCTCGGCTTACTGCAACCTCTACCTCCCGGATTCAAGCTATTCTTCCTGCCTCAGCCTCCCGAGTAGCTGGGATTACAGGCACCCACCACCACACCCAGCTAATTTTTAGTAGAGATATATTTTTAGTAGAGATGGGGTTTCACCATGTTGGCCAGGCTGGTCTTGAACTCCTGACCTCGGGTGATCTGCCAGCCTCAGCTTTCCAAAGTGCTGGGATTACAGGTGTGGGATTACCACGTCCAGCTGCCTAGTTT